GGCGGCGTCCTGCTGGCTGCTGCATTCAGGCTCCTGCCTGGAAGCGCGCACCCCGGGGACCAAGTCACTGTCCAGGTGTCCACGGAGAGGAGGCGCGGAGCCACTGCCGGGGTGTCCTGGCAGAACAGTGCGTTCGGGGCGTCGTCTCGTTGGAAATCGTGTCCACACTCTGAAGTGACTCATCAGCTTTGAGACGGTTGTTCTTGGCGTGACTGTTGATCAGTCAGTGGGCAGTGTCACATTTTGTTAAGTTATGGTGAACCCTAAACCCAAGTTCTGCCACTAATGGACTCGCGGGGCCTCTCCTGCCCCTGCTGGAAGTGTCACACGGCCGGCACCTCAGTGACTCTCTGGTGTCTCCAGGCAGCGTGTGGACAGGAGACTCCAGGACCCGTGCAGCTGATCCGTCTCTTGTGCTGGACCCCATCTCCCCTCCCAGCGCCGCCTCCAGAGCCCTCATGCCTCTGTGAGAGCAGCGACAGTGGATCAATCTCTGGTGAGTGCTGTGTTTGCTTTAGCTTGTGGTGCATTGACTTTATGGGAGTACGTCAACGGACACGTAAATTAGAAACATAGTTTTCTCCAGGGACACATTCCTCACCAGAGAAAGGTGTGGCGTAGATCCAGGCACTTCACATGTCCAGCATGTGTGAAGATGGGGCTCTGCCCTGGTGCTCACGCAGTGCAGAGTCAGAGTCTGTACCTGGGTCATGGTTGATGATGCTGAAGGTGTGGACTGTGGCTCTTCACCCCGCTGGACAGAAACTTCCCAGCTCTGCACTGGTCGGTGGCGGGGTGAGGGAGGAGGGGGAGGATGGGTCTGAGGACCTGAGTGCAGAATGGGGTTGAAGGAGCCACATGTCTTTCATTTATTTTTTTTTTTTATAGAGGCATGTTTTATTTATTTGTTTGTTTCTTTGTTTTGTTTATACATGCACTGGGTACAGTCAGAAGTGTGGGAGGGTGAGAAATTCACCAGAGCCAGAGCGGGGAGTAGAGCAGGCAGAAGGACCGAAGTACTGCTGAGGGGAGCAGCGGCAGCAGGAGAGGTCTGCGCGCCATGTGGGACCCTCCTCCGGTGGCTGGGGAGCAGCCGGGGATCGAACTGGCGCTGCAGAGGCTGCGCGCAGCTTTGCAACCCAGCGCTCAACCGCTGCGCCACCAGGGAGGCCCAGCCACATGTCTTTTAAAAAGGACAACTGATCTTTTTTTCAAGATTGTTTTTTTTTTATACAAGCACTGGGTACAGTCAGAAGCACGGGACGGTGAGAGAATTCACCACAGCCAGAGCAGGGAGCAGAGCAGGCAGAAGGACCGAAGTACACTGCTGAGGGGAGCAGCGGGTGGCAGGAGAGGTCTGCGCGCCATGTGGGACCCTCGCTGGCGATCGAACTGGCGCTGCAGAGGCTGCGGGCAGCTTCACAACCCAACGCTCAACCCCTTGGGCCCCCCAGGAGACCCCAACTGAATTTTTAAGGTTTCTGTGCAGTAGCTAAAATCATATACTATGTCCTACACAACTTGCGGAGACTTTCATGCAGGCATCAGTTTGGCATGTGTGCCGTTGAGTCCAATGGGGGATCCTTACACACCTGCCCCTGCCTTTCTCTCAGGTGGCCTGCAAACCGAAGGTGCCCAGTAGACTCTTCAGAGTCCTTTTTTCTGGCCGTTGTTTCCACTGTTCCTGCGCATTTCTCCTTGGTGTGGTCTGAATGCATTTCTGGTGACACTCACTACACCCTAAGTTGCTCTCCAGTCCAGTTACACTCTCCAAAAGTTCCTGCCATGTTTGAGAACACCGTGTGTGACCTTTGGGAAATTTCTTTTTTTTTAATTGTTTTAAAGCTTCTTATACTTTTTTCTTCTTATTTTACTTATTTTCCCTCCTCGATCTGTCATTGACATGTGTAGCACTAAAAGCATTCTGCTGAAATAGTTGCCAGTTTTTTCCTACAATACTAATGTGTCTTTCCCTACCCCTTGTTCGCCTCTACCAAACCACTCTGGCCCGTCCCCCGTCTGCCTCCCTCCCTAACTTCTCCACCCATTCCCCTGTTCCCTCTGGTGGTCATATTTACCTTCAAATGACCCTGTTCAAGTTTTATTCAAGTATTTTGGCTGTAAATGTTTTTTGGGTATTTATTTTCCACAGAGAAGTGAAGCCATCTCATATGTGTCTTTACTTTTTGGCTTATTTCACTCAAGAGTAGCACCTCCCAGGGCCTCCCTGGTGGCACAAGGGGTTGAGATGCAACCGATGGGGCTGTCTGTAGTCTCTGCAGCACAAGTTCCATCCCCGGGCCAGCCAGAGAGCTACCCACATGGCGCAGCAGACCCGACTGGCCTGCTGCGTCCCTCGGCAGTGTATTTCCGTCTATCTGCCTGTTCTGTTCCCTGCTCTGTCTCTGGTGAATCCCCTCACCTTCCTCCCCTGCACCTCTGGCCTGTACCCCAGCTCCTGTATGCATAAATATATAAATAAATCTTTTTTAAAAAAGAAAAAAAAAATATCACCTCCTTGCCCACCCATTTAATCCTCAGTGTGGCCCTTTGCTTCTTCCTCAGAGCCCTGCAGTGCTCCCCTGCGTGTGCTCCACACTTCCTGCCCTGCCTCTGCCAAAGGGATGTAGATTGGGCCATGACTGGGCAGATGGAAACACAGCTGCTCTGATCACGGATGGGATAAATCTTTTTGTGTTTGAGTTTTCCCGTGAGGATAATGTGTAGAAGTATTGCGGATGATATGGAATTTCCGTTTTTATTTCCTTAAGAAACCTCTGCACCCTCATCCACAGGGTCTGTTCCGACTGTCATGGCCACCAGCCGTGGGTGAGAGCTCCCATTTCTCTGTGCCCTCTCCAGCGTTGTTCATTCCATATTTTGTTTTTTTTTTTTTTTTTAGTGTTTCACTTTTTTAAATACTATTTTACATATTTTTACATCATTTTCATTTTTGCAGTGTAATCATTTACATCTTCATTGTAGTCCCCATAAAATTCTCACCCCTCACCCCCCGTTTTGTACAAATCCATTCGTTTTCATTTGGACCTTCTCAAAGGGTGAGGTGGCATCTAAGTGTGCTTTTAATTTACATTTCTCTTAAAATAAGTTAAGGTGAACATTCCTATTGTCCGTAGGATGTCAGAATTCCCTCTCTAGAGAAGAGTGTATGTAGTTCCTTTGTCCATTTTTTAATTAAGATTTATTCATTTATGCATACAAGAACTGGGGTACATGCGAGAGGTGCAGAGGGTGAGAGGATTCGCCAGAGACAGAGTGGGGAGCAGAACAGGCAGACTTACTGAAACACACAGCTGAGGGGAGCAGTGGGGAGTAAGGAGAGGTCTGCTGTGCCATGCGGGTTGCTCCCTGCCGGCCAGGGATCGAACTCTCGCTGCAGAGGCTGTGGAGAGCTTCATAGGCTGCGTCCCAACCCCTTGTGTCACCAGGGAGGCCCCCCTTTGTCCATTTTTAATTGAGTCATCAGTTGGTTTCTCGCATTGTTTGGGGATGTTATAAATTTTGGAATGAACCCCTTGTCACATGTGTGGCATGCAGGTTCTTTTTCTGTTCTGTAGACTGCCTTTCAGTTTTTGGGCTGGTTTCTTTTAAGGTATGAAAGCTTTTAGGTTTAGTGGTGTCCCACTTGTTGCTTTTTGCTTTTGTTTCCCTGGGTGTTGGGGTTGTGTTCCCTAGTGCACTTTGGGGCAACTGTCCTTAGTGTGTCCCTATATTTTCTGTCAAGTACATCACCAAATATTTAATCCATTTGGAATTTTATAGATTGATTTATTTATCTATATAAGAGCTGGGGTACAGGCCAGACATGTGGTGGGTGAGAGGATTGACCAGAGACAGAGCGGGGAACAAAACAGGCAGATCTGGTGAAATACACTACTAAGGGGAACAGCAAGGAGACAGGAGAGGTCAGGTGTGCCGTGTAGGTGAGTTCCCTGACTGGGGATGGAACTCATGCTGCAGGGGCTGTGGATAGCTTCATAGTGCTTTGCCTTAACCCCTTGCTACACCAGGGACACTCCATGTTGCTGTATTAACTCGGTTGGAATTTGTTGAGGATTTTCGCTTCTCTGTTCTTTGGTGGTGTTGGTCTATTTTTCCCTTTTATGCTGTCTTTTTTTTGGGGGGATCAGGGCAATGTTGACCTCGTCGTATGTGTTGGTGAGTTTTCCTCCATCTTCAGTGTTTTGGAAGATGCAAATTTCTTTGTGTTTGCTTCTGTCATGGTCTCTCTGATGATTTCTTTTCTGTGTCCCTGAATGCTTGAGTATCTTGTGCTCCTGAATGTAGCTAGTCCCTGTGTTCCGATATGGTCTCCCGTCTTCAGTCTGCACTTCTCCTGAGTGAGTCAGTCAACTGTGTTTTGCCATTTCTGCCAGTTACACTTGCGTGTGGGCCTCCTGCCCAGGCCTAGTACCACAGGCTTGGCTCCTACCTTACTGCGCCTGTAGCCGTCCCGATGGCACCTGCTGCTCATGCAACATGCAAACCTCATCATGTGTTGTGCCCTCCCTTGTGGAATTAGATCCTTCTCAGCCCAGGTCTCCCGCCACCAGAAAGGGATTTCTCTGTTCCAGAGTTTAGTCTCACCCAATGCAAGTTACTCTTCAGTATTACCTGATAACTTAATGGTTGCTTGCAACAGCACCGCTGTGCGTGCGTGCATGCGTGCGTGCGTGCATGCGTGCGTGCGTGTGAGTGTGTGTGTTCACTTTCTTTCACATTACACTTCTCGTTCTTGGCCAAACCTGATGGATGTGTTTTCTCAGTGATGAGGTTGCTCCCTTTTCTGCCTCCAACTGGCCAGGGTGTGGTGACACCTCAGAGCTCGGGGAGAAAGTACTCAGGGGTCGGTGGACACGTTTGAACAAGGGTCATGACACAGACACACGCTGAGTAAAACCAGGTAGCGCAGATGTTCATCATTTGACCTTTGGTTGTTGGGAGTTTATGTCAGTGATGCTCAATGTACTTTTTAATAAAGAGCTTCATGTTTCTGTCATCGAGTCTGGAGTATAGTAGGTGTGTTTGCATTTGTCATACGTATGATTCTTGCTGAAGTTACAGTTAAGGTAGTTTTTTTTAGTTTTGATAGATGTTTATAGAATATTGATAGAATGAATATATTTTGCAACCCAATTTTACAGCTCTTCTGTCACCTGTGACCATGCAAGTGTTTCATTTTATAAACCTTTGCACTGTGGGGAGCAGCAGTGGCTGCTCTTCTGCCCAGCATGACTGTTGCTTCTTTTTCTCCTTTTCCTAGAAAAAGTGGCCCTCCCTTCATTCATTCATTCATTCATTCATATTTTAAAAGATGAACTTATTTATGCATACAAAAACTGAGGTATGGGCCAGAGGTGTGGGAGGGAGGGGATTCTCCAGAGACAGAGTGGGGAGCAGAACAGGCAAATCTATTGAAATACACTGCTGAGGGGAGCAGTGGGCAAGCCAGGAGAGGTCTGCCATGCCATGTGGGTAGCTGTCTGGCTGGGGATTGAACTCGTGCTGCTGTGGATGCGGTACAGCTCCATAAGTAGTGTCTTTACCTTTGAGCCACCAGGAAAGCCCCTGACCCTTTATTTAAATGTAAAATAAAAAGTCTCCTTTCGCTGTTATTGCATGTGGTGTTCTTTGGCTTTTAGTATCTGACCTTGTTATACAGCCATCACCACCTTCCAGATTTTTTCATTTCCCTGTAATAAAATACTGTACTCATTAAACTCTCGCTCCCAACTGCTCTGTCCCTGTGCCTCTGTGTCCACCATTTACTTTCTATTTTCAAGAGTTTGACAACTCAGACCTGTATGAATGGAGTCTTATTACACCTTCTTTTCTTGGTGAATCTCTTATTTTATTGCATTGTTAACTGTTTTGTCATTTCATAGGTATCGTACAGGAGTGCATTCATATTGTAGTGTGTGTCATTGTTTAGTTCCATTGTGAGGCTCATTAATAATCTCTTATGTGTATTTTCCAGTCTTATTTATCCATTAATCCATCACCTGGGGCTTGGGTTGATTTTGCTTTGGGCTGTAATGACTGGTGGTGCAGTGACAGTAGGTGAGCAAACGTCTCTGCCCATTCCTGCTGTCCCTGCTATTGGTGAACACCCCGGGGTAGGGGTGGGTCCTCCTGTCATTCTGAGTTCCCCTTTCCCAAGAATCACCTTCCTGTCTTCCCTCCTGGCTGCATCATTTATGTTTGCCCCAACAGTGGGCAAGGGAGCCAGGTCCCAATTTTTGCCAGTACTTGTACTTTTCTTTCTTTTTAAATCATTGTGATCCCAGCGGAAGTAAAATCTCATCTCTTATACTTCTGATTCATTTTTCCTTCGTGACTGATCATATTGAGAACGTTCATGTGTTAGGACCCGCTTGGGTATGTGATTTGCAGAGCTGTGTATTCCAGTCCTTTACTCATGGCTGCACATTTCCCTTTTGAACAGGGTCGAAAGTGCGAGGGGATTGTATTGTCCCATTTCGTCATATGGTCCTTTTATGGCATCCTGAGCCCACTCCTGCTGGGAGGTCGCATGAGTTTCTGTGCGCAGAAATGAGCCATCCACCATCTCTCTGCTGTTGTTTTATTTCTCGTATTAGTGTTTTAATCAATGAGCCTGTAAATAAATGCATTTTTGTTTTCCTAGAACTGGGATGTGCCGGGTTACCTTGCGAGAGTTGCTGTTAGTGCAGCAGGCTCATAGTGTCCTGGATGCTGTTGTGTCTTTGCATTTGTTTAATTCATTGTTTAACCCTCCGGGTTTCTTTATTCCGGTGAGTCTCTGCCCTTGGTTCCGCTACATGCATTGCTTACTGTTTTGTCATTTCACTGGCAGCATACAGGAGCTCTTGTGTGTGTGAACACGGGTGTGTGTTATAGTCTGCTCACTGGGTGTTCCTTTCCAGAGTCGCTTTACTTTGGCTTTCATTAGTTTTCCAAGAATGAATTATAACTAGTTATGACCATTTTTATGTATGTTGTCTTTTTGTTGTTGTTGTTGTTATGTAGTGTTACCCAAACCCATTGTGAATAGGGGACTCTGAGCATCTTTGTTAGTCCTTCTCTCACAGGGAATGTTGATGTCGCCTGTGGCTGTCAAGGACTTGTTTTGTGTTGAGGAAAAATCCTCTGAATCCTTTTTCAGCTAATACAAATGGAAATTTATTTTAATGTGTTCCTATTCTATATGTATGTGGAGGTTCACAGGATTTACTACACAGGAAAGGAAATGATGGAATAAATTTACGGATTTCTTAAGATGTTTGTTTTCTTATACCGAGTATCTTATTTTCCAAAACTCTTTCATTGCTATGATCTATTTTTTTCTTTCTCCATAAGAAATATTTGTCTCTTCTAGTTGTTTTTCCTCTTCTTTCGATACTTTTGTTCTGGTCACCGTGTTCTCCCCTACGGTGATGAAAACTATCAATAATATCCTGGAGATTCCCAAATTCTTTTTTTCTTTAATATTTATTTTATGTATGCATATAAACACTCGGGTGTAGGCCACAGGTGCAGGGGGGAGAGGATTCACCAGAGACAGAGCGGGGAACAGAACAGGCAGACTGACTGAAATACACTGCTGAGGGGAGCAGTGAGGAGACAGGAGATACCTGCTGCACCTTGTGGATAGCTCCCTGGTTGGGGATCAAATTCGTGCTGCAGCAGCTGCCGATAGCTTCATAGTGCTGAGACTTAAACTGTTGTGCCACCAGGGAGGCCCTGATTCCTAAATTTCTGTTTTCAGCTTAGATTCCTGATCTATCAGATACATGTCCAGTTGCGTGTGGAATTCCAGTGTCTACCAGCCTGTCATACGGACAGCATATTAGGAAAACATTCCTCGTACCTTAGCCACCCAGTTATTACCAAGTTCTCCTCCCCTTTGTCCTTCCATTTCAGAAGTGATGACCTGTTCTGTCTTCTTCTGACTTTGTCAGTTGAACATCTTTTCTTAAAATTTTACTTTATATGTATTTTACATCATTTTTTTATTTCTGCAGAGTTACGCATTTTCATCTTGGTTATAGTCCCCATACATCCCACCCCCCTTATTTTAACACTAATCCCTCCACCCCCCCCAAAGTGCATCTCTGGTTTATACTTGCTTGTAGTTGAACATCTCTTACCTTTGCTTTTTCCCACCTCATTGCTTGAACATCCTGGTTTCGGGTTCAGTTTTTGTTTACTGTGAGTTGGAGATACCAGGCTTTGAGGTCACAGGAGTAAAATATTGGCACAAAGTTGCACATGCTTTTCATTTGTTATGAAGCTCCTTTAGCACATGATTCCGGGTGTATGTCTGTTACACCTGCCAGCCAGGCTATCAGCTCCTCAAGGAACCAATTTTATTCATCCTTTTATTTTTAGAATCATAGGCACTTCCAAATACATAAGGTAAGCTATAGTTCTACTTGTAGGACCAAAGGGGTGAATGTAGAGGCGAGGCTCTTTCAACTGCGAATTCTATACAGGACCGAAGACCCACAAAATAAGATGTGTTTGCACTTGCTCTGTCTGACCCAGGCTGGCGGCCCTGAGATGAGAAATGTTCCCTCAGAAGAGACGGTGTCATTTGAAGATGTGGCTGTGAACTTCACGTGGCAGGAGTGGTGATACCTGAGTGAAGCTCAGAGGACCCCGTACTGGGATGTGATGCCGGAGACCTGCAATCACCTGGTGTCCCTAGGTGAGGAAGCTCCAGTGTAACACTCTAGTGCAATGCTGTCTTCTGCACTGATAAGTGTGCACTTGCTTATGAAACTGAGTGTTGGTGAGGTTGAACATGGCAGGCAGTGTACATTGTGCGTGTTTCGGTTTTCGTTTGGAAAGATTCAGATTGGCCTCTTTTGCACAGCTCTTCACACTGCATTTGTTAGTTTTCAAAGACTGAAGTTGAACTTGATCGAATACCAACACTGTTTCTCATCACAGGGCACTGTGTTACCGATCCTGAGGAGAGCATCAGGTCGGAGCAGGGATTACAGCCGTGGTCTGTGGATGATCCCCCAAACCAGGACTTCTCAGGCCAGTGATATTGGCCACACTGAGGTGCTTTTCCAGTGTCCAACCTTGGAAGGTGTGTCTGCATATATCAAAATGATTCTTTATTCAGTTTCCAAATATTACTCTCTTGTGAATTTTGTCCTGCTCTTTTAATGATGGTTGTCTATGTTCTTAAACCAGTATGCAGTCCCTGATACATGGGGATGATTCTGCAATAATCACATATCTCTATTCTCTCTCTTAGTGTATTCTCATAGACAGTTTTCTTTAGGTTCCTGTTGAGGAATTGTTTTATTCTTTTCGTATATTTATGGGATGTTTAGCCAGTGGTAAATTTTCTGAGAGGGGAGAGCAACAGTACTCACAGAAATGATCTTTACATTCTGAAGTTATACACTCTGTGAGGAAAGAATATGTAATAAATACATTTATTAATAGAGAGGTAAAGCCACAGAGGATGTTTGTCCAGCATGAGTGAAACAAAGTGGAGGATGTTGTTTTTGTGTGTGCTCCATACACATCGTTATAGAGATTAATTCTTTTCTTTCAGAGCTCAGGTGAGGTGAATGGGTTGCACTGACATGTCATATCTATAGTTCCCTCTGCAGTCTGGGATAGAGGCTATGTATTGCTATTGGAGATGTCACTGAGCAGGTGACTAACTCAAAAGGGATAGAGAGGTGTTGACTGGAGAGTTATTTAGAACATGAGTAGTGTTTCAGGGGCAAGCCTTTTGACCGCCCTCATAGTAATTGTGAGGCTGAGGAGGACCCAGAATTGTTTAGCGTTGGAAGGGATGTTCTGTGACATGGGAGGGGGAACCTGAGGTGGTGGTTTCTAAAGCCATGGCACCAAGAGTTTCAGGTTGGGGGCTCATACCTTGGGGAGCAGTGTGACCTGTGCAATTCCACCTTCTCGTGGGAATTGTTGGGAGGAAAGTAAAGGAATCGACGACACTGTGATGTAGCTGAGAGTCACACACCACATAGAAACTGGAGCTGCTATGAACAAAGCAGAAACACAGGTTTCAGGGAATGCGTTGAGAACACCAGGGTGTTGCTCTCAGAAGGATGTTGGAAAAGACTTTAACGCTGATAGCACAGGATGGATGCAGAACTTTTTTCCTATTGCTTAGCAGGAATGTGGGACACAATGATGAGATGGAGTTTGCTGCATGTATTAGGATTCTGAGCCTTATGTGATATGATATTTAAATATGAACTGACTGGTCTCTTCCGTGGAGGGAAGCACATGCCTCTGAGAACCTCTGCAGGTGACCGTGGCCCGGGCCGGAGTCGAAAGAAGAACTAAGGAAATGGAGAAGCAGAGTCCTTGTGTCTCAGCAGGCCTCTTGCTTAAAGTGCCTGGGCAATGACTGGGTCTCTCAGTCCATAGGTTTCTGGGAAAGCCATGGCCTCTGCAGGGCTTGGTTATTCAGAAAGTACCCTCAAGAGCTGCACAGGGTCAGTCTAAGAAAGAAGGTGTGTAGGATCTATGTTGGGTGAAATGCTTCTGGTTGAAATCGACAACTCTAGTTAAAGGACTATTTTCACCAAATATTTATGATTTTATAAAACCATTGTAAAATTAGATTTACTGCTTTGTTATCCTGGTTTGGCATTAGAAAATCTGTTAATTGGGGCCTCCCTGGAGGCCTAGGGATTAAGTCTCTTAGCTCTCACTATTATGGCCTGAGTTTGTTCCACAGTGAAGGAGTTCACCGACTTTGGCACAGCAAATCTCTCCTGTCTCACCTGCTGCTACCCTCAACAGTGTATTTCATTCAGTCTGCCTGTTCTGGTCAACACACTCCCCTACAGCACGCTCCCCTACAGCACCCCCCACTCCTGCACCTCTGGCCTATACCCCAGATCTCCTATGCTAAAGTAAAAAATACCAAAAAATCTATTCTCCCCATCATTTACTACGGGCAAAAAGCATGAATCAGAAAATCAATACCTGTAAATTATGTTGTAATATAGGGACTTTTGTGTCTCTTAGTAGTGTTCACTCAAAATGCTTACTTCTTTAGAGACATGGTCATTTTTATCTCACTTTAGATGTCCATACTGTGGATCACCTGACTCAGGACAGCCCTGCAAATCAGGGCAGACATGTGTGGCAAGTTCTTCCCACCAGCAGCAAAATACCATCCAACGAGAGAACTGACTTAATGGAAAAAAGCAATTTGCACACAATTCATTGTTTGAACCATAGTATCAAAAATGTAAACAATTCAGCGATGATGCCTGAGAACTTTACTATACATAGGACCATGATGATCCCTGGTGAGCCTCATGAAGGGCATGCTGGAGAGAATGAGAAGGTCTTTAGTAGAAAGAGGGAACCCATCAAGTATCCTGAGCACCTTAGTCACCAGGTGATTCAGAACTTTCTTTTTTTTTTTTTTTTTTATTTATTTATTTTTTTATTTATTTATTTTTTTTAATATTAATTTTATTTTATATTCCCCCATAAATTGCAAACGCCCCATTCTGACACCAATCCTTCCCCTCCCGCCCCCCCCCCAAAAGTGTCTCTGGTTCATAGTTTTTTGTTGATTTTGATTTTCACTTTCTTATATTCATTTTCCTGGTCCCTTATTTAAGTTTTCTAGATTCCTGCTATGAGTGAGACCATCCGGTATTTTTCTTTTTCTTTCTGGCTTATTTCACTGAGCATGATCCCTTCCAGCGCCATCCATGTTGCTGCAAATTGCATGTGTTTATCTTTTTTGAATGCTGAGTAATATTCCATGGTATATATGTACCACATCTTCTTGATCCAGTCATCTATTTTTGGGCATTTGGGTTGTTTCCAAAGCTTAGCTATTGTAAACAGTGCTGCTATAAACATAGGGGTGCAGGTGTTCTTTGGAATTGATGTTTCTGTGTCCTTTGGGTAAATACCTAGGAGTGGAATTGCTGGATCATATGGAAGCTCTATGTTTAGTAGGTCCAGAAATCTCCACACAGCTCTCCATAGTGGTTGGACCAGTTTGCACTCCCACCAACAGTGCAGAAGAGTTCCTTTTTCTCCACATCCTCGCCAACATTTGTTGTTGCTAGTTTTTTTAATATGTGCCATTCTCACTGGTGTGAGATGGTATCTCATGGTAGTTTTGATTTGCATTTCCCTGATGACAAGTGATGTTGAACATTTTTTCATATGTCTGTTGGCCATTTGCATTTCCTCTTCAGAGAAGTTTCTTTTTAGCTCTTCTGCCCATTTTTTGACTGGATTATTTTCTTTGTTGTTGCTGAGTCTCATCAGCTCTTTGCAGATTTTTGTGATCAGTCCTTTATCATTAGTGTTGGGTGCAAAAATGTTCTCCCAGTTGGTGGGGTTTCTCTTGTTTTTGTTATTGTCTCTTTTGCTGTGCAGAAGCTCTTTAATTTGATGTAGTCCCAGCTGTTTATCTTTGTCTTCACTATCACTGCTTTGGGTGATGTGTCTGTAAAGATGTCTTTGATGTGCAAATCCCGTAGTGTTTCGCCTATATTTCCTTCTATGTATTTTATGGTTTCAGGTCTTATGTCTAGTTCTTTAATCCATTTTGAGTTGATTTTTGTGTATGGTGTGAGGTAGTGGTCAAGCTTCATTCTTTGCATGTAGCGACCCAGTTTCCCCAGCACCATTTATTGAACAAACTTTCTTTGCTCCAATGCATAGTCTTCGCTCCTTTGTCAAAGATTAGTTGACCATAAATCTGTGGGTTTATTTCTGGATTTTCTATTCGATTCCATTGGTCTGTATGTCTGTTCTTGTTCCAATACCATGCAGTTTTGATGATTATGGCTTTGTAGTATAGTTTGAAGTCTGGGAGTGTGATGCCTCCATTTCCTTCTTTTTTTTTCAGTAGAGCTTTGGCTATTCGGGGTTTTTGGTGATTCCATATGAATTTCATCAATAATTGTTCTATTTTTGAAGAATGCCATTGAGATTTTGATTGGAATAGCATTGAATCTGTATATTGCTTTTGGTAGGATGGCCATTTTAATAATGTTTATTCTTCCATCCATGAGCAGGGGATGTCTTTCCATTTCTTTGTGTCTTCTTCTATTTCTTTTAACAGTGTTTTATAGTTTTCTTTGTATAGGTCCTTTACCTCTTTTGTTAGATTTATTCCAAATATTTGATTTTTTTTGTTTCGATAATAAAAGGGGTGGTTTTTTTGATTTCTTCTTCTTCAGATTTATTGTTTGTGTATAGGAAGGCTACTGACTTTTGCGTGTTGATTTTGTATCCTGCCACTTTACTGAATTGATTGATGAGTTGAATTAGTTTTTCTGTGGAGATTTTGGGGTTCTCTATGTATATTATCATATCATCTGCAAATAGTGATAGTTTGACTTCTTCTTTTCCTATTTGGATTCCTTGGATGTCTTTCTCTTGTCTTATTGCTCTGGCTAGGACTTCCAGTATTATATTGAAAAGCAGTGGTGAGAGTGGACATCCTTGTCTTGTTCCAGATCTTAATGGAATTGCTTTCAGCTTTTCACCATTGAGAATGATACTGGCTGTTGGCTTGTCATAGATGGCCTTTATGATGTTGAGGTATGTTCCTTGTATCCCAAGAATTTCAAGGCTTTTATCATGAATGGGTGTGCACTTTGTCGAAAGCTTTCTCAGCATCTATTGATATTATCATATGGTTTTTATATTTCTTTTGTTGATGTGTTGGATAACGTTGATTGATTTTCGGATGTTAAACCATCCTTGTGCCCTGGAATGAATCCAACTTGGTCGTGGTGAATTATCTTATGGATACATTGTTGGATTCTGATAGCTAAAATTTTATTGAGGATTTTTGCATCAGTGTTCATTAGGGAGATTGGCCTATAGTTTTCCTTTTTTGTGTTGTCCTTATTCGGTTTTGGTATTAGTGTAATATTGGCTTCATAGAACGTGTTTGGTATTGTCCCTTCCTTCTCAATTTTTGGAAGAGTTTGTGAAGGATAGGCACTAATTCGTCTCTGAATGTTTGGTAGAATTGTAAATCCATCAGGTCCTGGGCTTTTGTTTTGGGGAGGTTTTATTACCATTTCAATTTCGCTGCTTGTAATTGGTCTGTTTAGGTGTTCTATTTCTTCTTTATCTAGCTTTGGGTGATTGTAGAGTTGTAGGAATTTGTCCATCTCCTCTAGATTGTTGAACTTGTTTCCATATAACTGTTCATAAGTTACTGATTATTCTTTTGATTTCTGCTGTGTCCGTTGTGATTTCTCCTCTTTCATTTATGATTCTGTGTATTTGTGCTTTCTCCCTTTTTTCCTTTGTGAGCCTGGCTAGGGGTTTGTCTATTTTATTGATTTTTTCAAAGAACCAGCTCTTGGTTTCATTGATCTTTTGGATTGTTTTTTAGTTTCAATTTCATTTATTTCTGCTTTGGTTTTTATTATTTCTTTTCTTCTACTGGTTCTGGGTTTTTTTGTTGTTCTTTTTCTAGATCTTTGAGCTTCGAGATTAGGTTGTTTCTTTGAGTTCTTTCTTGTTTTTTGATGTGAGCTTCTATTGCTATATATTTTCCTCTTATTACTGCTTTTGCTGCATCCCATACATTTAGGATATTGGTGTCCTCCTTGTCATTCAATTCAAAGAATTTTTTAATTTCTTCTTTGATCTCCTCGTTAGTCCAGTGGTCTTCCAGTAGTGTGGCTTTTAATCTCCATGAGGTAGGATAGTTCCTTGCCTTCTTTTTATGATTTATTTCTAGTTTGATGCCTTCGTGGTCAGAAAAGATGGTTGGTATGATTTCAATCTTGGTGTATCTGTTGATGTTTGTCTTGTGCCCCAGTATGTGATCGATCCTGGAGAATGATCCGTGTGCGCTTGAGAAAAATGTGTACTCCGTTTTTTTTGGGTTTAGTGTTCTATAGATGTCTGTTAAGCCCAAATGCTCTAGGTCCTTATTTAGAGCTTTAGTTTCTTTACTTATTTTTTGTCTTGTTGATCTATCCATTGTTGATAGTGGTGTGTTGAAGTCTCCCACTACATATGTGTTTTCTCTGATGTCTGTTTTCAGAGAGGACAACAGTTGTCTGATATATTTTGGTGCTCTTTCGTTTGGTGAGTATATGTTAATGAGTGTTATTTCTTCTTGAAGTATTGTCCCCTTAATCATAATGTAGTGACCATTGGGGTCTCTTTTTATTTTTTTGAGTTTGAAGTCTGTTTTATCTGATATAAGTATAGCTGTTCCTGCTTTCTTTTTTGGCCCATTTGCTTGTAGGATTGTTTTCCATCCTTTGACTTTGAGCCTATTTTTATCTTTTGTAGCTAAATGTGTTTCCTGGAGACAGCAAAAGGTTGGGTTTTGTTTCTTAATCCAGGCTGCAACTCTGTGTCTTTTTATTGAAGAGTTTAGTCCATTTACATTTAGAGTTAATATTTATATGTTAGCATCTGTATTTGCCATTATGTTTGTCTTTCCTTTGATTTTATTTATTTATTCTTTTAATAACTTTTTTTTTTTTTTTGTCTTCTTTCGTTGTTATTCGTCCCTCTGAGGTTCTGGCTTTAGGATTCCTTGTAGTATTTTTTGGAGTGGGGGTTTAGTCGCAATGAAATTCCGGAGTTTCTCTTTGTCTGGGAAGGTCCATATTCTTTCTTCATGGAGGAAAGAGAGCTTTGCGGATAGAGTATTCTTGGTTGGCATCTGTTTTCTTGGAGTCTGTTGACTATGTCCCTCCACTCTCTCCTTGCCCGTAGTGTTTCTTCAGAGAAGTCTGATGTCAGCCTGATTGGTTTTCCTTTGAATGTTATCTGTTTCTTCCCTCTTGTCAGCTTCATTATTTTTTCCTTGTCCTGGATTCTTGGGAGCTTTACTATTATGTGTCTTGCTGTGTTTTTCCTTTCGTCGTGGAAGTTTGGTGTTCTTCTTGCTTCTTGTATATCAATTTTCAGCTCCTTCTTCTCATTTGGGAAGTTCTCTTCAATTATATCCATGAATATTTTCTCTGTTCCTACATCTCTCTCCTCTCCTTCTGGAATTCCTATAACTCTTATATTTCCTTTCCTCATGGAGTCAGATAGTTCCCGAAGTCTTTCTTCATTCTTTTTCCTTCGTACTTCTCTTTCCTTTTCTGTTTTGGTTCTTTTTATTTCTGTGTCTTCAAGATTACTTATTCGTTCTTCCATTTCATCTATTCTGCTTTCATTGCTTTTCCCAGAGTTCTTTAGTTCCTCCATTAATTCTTTGATCTCCTGCATTTCTCTTACTTCCCTCTTTAGGGACTCAATTTCCTTCTTCTGATCTATCACTTTTTTAATCATGGCAATTTTAAATTCTCTTTCTGGAAGGCTCAGAAGTTCTTCCAAGTTGCTGTCGTTGCAATCTGGGGAGTGGTTTTCTTTTTGTGGTGTGCTTCTTTCCTGAGGAGTTTTTAGGTTGCGTGTGGTTCTTCTACTCCCTACTGTCTGTTTTCTAATTTGTCGTATGCGTTGGGACACTGTGTTGCTCGGACTGACTGACATCTTGGGTGAACTTCTCCGCTCCCCTCTGGCTCTTCCAGGAGCCATCTCTGTCTTCTGGGGGAGCTTTCTGCTGGTTTTAGGCAGTTTTTACTGAAGAAATGTCCCTGTTCTCAAATGGCGAAGCGGGATGCAGTCCCTGCGCTCTGGTTTCAGGCACACTCTTCTGCGCACCGGTCTGCCCCGGACGTGGGTGCCTGCTCCTCTGTGGGCTCAGACTGCTGGTCGGAAGGGCCTGGCGTGGGATAACTTCCCGGCTGGCCACTGGGTCCTCCAGAAACCTTCTGCCCTTTTCAAGCAGTCTTAAGAAATGTCCTGTTTTATAGGGTGTTAGTGACTTTTTTTTTCCTGGTCGCTAGGTGGCGCCAGAGATCTCTCCTATTGTCCTTGGGGGGCTGTTTTTCGCCTCCCCCCACCCCGTGGGACAGAGAACAGAGCGGGAATGGTAGGGTACACCTCAACAGCTTTGGGGTGCTGTGTCTGCCTTGTGCCCCACCGTCGTGGAGAAACCACGCCCGAATTTTCGTGCCCCGGGTCTCAGTTCAAAGCCCTCAGTTCCAGGACGCGGGCTGTAGCCCAGTTCAGTGGCGCGGGAATGGCGCCTTTTGCACAGCTCCCGTGCCTGGGCGCCTGGTTCCTGCTCACTCAGGGAGGGACCTTCACCTCAGTGAGGACCTCCGCGCGTCTCCCCGCAAGCCTAGGTCGTCTCCCCGCAAGCCTAGGTCGCAGGCGCGGGGACCTGGGCAGCCGCGATCCAGGTCTGCACTTGCTTTTCAAGCGCGCCGCTTTTCCGCGCCAGCTTACCGGCAGCCCGGGCTGTGTGCGCGTCTCCCGGAGTCTTTGTTCTTCTCTAATGGCGCCCGGAGCCGTTCCCTCACGCTGCGGCGGATCCTGCAGGGTTCGCCTCAGCTCCCGTTCACGGGGTGTGGTGGCTGCAATAGTTCCTTTCCACTCACAGTCCCGCTTGCTGCCTCGTTTGTTTTTTGTTGGCCGTTTTGGTTTGTTCTTTCCTCCTCTCTCTGATTCAGAACTTTCAACAGCCTTTTGAATTTCGTGAACAAGGAAAAGTCGTGAGTGAAGAAACAGTATTTACACCTAGAGGAGCCCTTCTGGAAGGGATTGCCCGTAAATGCAATGAGTGCAGGGACACCCGTGATGAGGTAACTTTCGTTGTCCGAGACAGAACCCAAGGAGGACAGACTCCCTGCAGTTGTAATGAAAAGGCGGAGCTGCAGAGATGACTCCAGTGCATTTGAATCCTCCTTGGTATGTTGAACATGAGCAGCAGAAATGTTGTGAAAGTGGGGCCAGTCTCAGAAACACATTTCACACCTATCCTCATGAGAGTACCCAGTTAGGAAAGAATAATTTGGGATATAAGAGATATGGTGAAGCGGCCTCTAAAACCTCTGTTCTTACTGAACATCAGAAAACACAAGCAGACAATCAACCTGATGAGTGTGGGGGCACCGCTGAGATTTCCTTACAGAGGGGATACCAGAGAAATCTCACTGCAGTGAAGATGTTTGGCTCTAACAATTATGTGAAAACTTACTCATGGAAGACTGACCTCACTTTACATCCACAGACTCAAACGGGAGTGAAGCGCTCCCAGTGTCAGGTGTGTAAGAAAACTTTCAGGTGGAAACCTGCTTTTAGTGTCCATCAGAGAACTCATACAAGGGAGAAACCCTTTGAATGTGAGGCGTGCAGGAAAGTGTTCTCCCTTAAGTCAGTTCTTGTTCTACATGAGAGGACTCACACTGGAGAGAAATGCTATGAATGTGAAGGGTGTGGGAAAGCTTTTTCCAGGAAGTCTCACCTTACTGAGCATCAGAGAATTCACACTGGAGAGAAGCTTTACGAATGTCAAGAGTGTAGGAAGACTTTCCTGGAAATCATCCTCAGTAACATCAGAGAATTCACTGGAGAGAAACCTGTGATTGTGAAGGGTGTGGGAAAGCTTTTTCTCGTAAGGCACACCTTATTAGACATCAGAGAATTCACACTGGAGAGAAACTCTATGAATGGGAAGGGTGTGGGAAAGCTTTTTCCAGTAAGTATTACCTCAGTGAGCATCAGAGAATTCACAGTGGAGAGAAGCCTTATGAATGTCAAGAGTGTAGTAAGACTTTCCAATGGAAATCATCCCTCAGTCTCCATCAGAGAAGTCACACTGGAGAGAAACCCTATGAATGTGAAGGGTGTGGGAAAGCTTTTTCCAGTAAGTGTTACCTCAGTGAGCATCAGAGAATTCACACTGGAGAGAAACCCTATGATTGTGAAGGGTGTGGGAAAGCTTTTTCCTGTAAAGTCAACCTCATTAGACATCAGAGAAGTCACACTGGAGAGAACCCTTTGTTTGTGAAGTGTGTGGGAAAGCTATTTCTAGTAAGCCACACCTCATTAGACATCAGAGAATTCATAGTGGAGAGAAATCCTATGAGTGTCAAGAACGCGGGAAGGCTTTCCGCCAGAAATCATCCCTCAGTCTCCATCAGAGAATTCACACTGGAGAGAAACCCTATGATTGTGAAGGGTGGGGAAAGCTTTTTCTAGTAAGGCACACCTTATTAGACATCAGAGAATTCACACTGGAGAGAAACCCTATGAATGTGAAGGGTGTGGGAAAGCTTTTTCCTGTAAGTCAAACCTCATTAGACATCAGAAAAGTCACACTGGAGAGAAACCCTTTGTTTGTGAAGTGTGTGGGAAAGCTTTTTCTAGTAAGCCACACCTCATTAGACATCAGAGAATTCATAGTGGAGAGAAATCCTATGAGTGTCAAGAATGTGGGAAGGCTTTCCGCCAGAAATCGTCCCTCAGTAAACATCAGAGAAGTCACAGTGGAGAGAAGCCTTGTGAGTGTCAAGAGCATGGGAAAACTTTTTCAGTAAGCATGCTCTCACTGGACATCAGAGATGTCACTGGACAAAATCCCTATGATTGTGAAGAGTGGGAAAACTTTTCAGGAAGTCAGCCCTCACTAGGCATGACAAACTCCACACTGGAGGGAAATGCTATGAATGTCAAGAGTGGACAGGCAGGCCTCCCCTGGTGGTGCAGGTGGTTGAGCACAGCGCTATGACGCTGTCCGTGGCCTTTGCGGTGGGAGTTTGATTCCCTGGCCTGCCAGGAGCAGCCCCATGGAGTGGCAGAACTCTCCTTTCTGGCCCGCTGCATGTATTTCAGCAGTGTATTTTGGTCAGTCTGCCTGTTCTGTTCCCCGCTCTGTCTCTGGTGCATCCTCTCACCCTCCCACACATCTGGCCTGTACCCTGGTTCTTGTATGCTTGAATAAATAAAAATCTTTTAAAAAGTATTCAAACTTTTGAGCTCAAACCACATCATGCAGCTGAGAGCAATGGGAACTGACATACAGTTTCAATCTTAATTGCGTGGAGTTACCTGGTTCACTCTGTTCTCCCAAGTTCATGCAGTGATGATGTCGCTGTTCCTGTGCTGTTGCTTCTAGTATCCTCTTAAGTTCCTGAGTGATGCTATGCCTGTCCACAGCAGCTGTCTGTCTACATGGCACACTGCATGTTGTGTGGGTAGGTGATCTCTCTGGGTTTTCTAACTTAGTCGTCACGTTCTGTCCAGTACTCTAAGTCTCTGTGGTGCCCCCCGATACTGGAATTGCTCACCACCAAAATGACCTCTAGAAGGAAAAGTTGAACTGTGTGCTCTCGGCTATAGGTTGAGGGCTGCAGGTGTCTTTACCTACCTTTCATGATGAAGGTTTTTCGGGGCCTCCCTGGTGGCCTCGTGGTTAAGTCTCAGTGCTATTGCCTGCTCTGGCCAGGGGTTCAGCCCTAGCTAGGGAGCCACCCCACATATGGCCGCAGCAGGCCTCTCCTGTGTCACCCGCTGCTCCCGTTAGCCAGGTATTTCAGTGGTTCTGCCTGTTTGTCACCACACTCAGTATCTGATGAATCCTCTCACCCCCGAACCTCTGGTCTACACCCAGTTCTACACAAACTAAGGAATTTTGTTGGAAGATTTAATTCTGCATACAAGTCTGGGGTTCAAGCCGGAGGTATGAGGGGGTGAGAGGATTCTCCACAGAAAGAGTGGGGTGCACAACAGGCGGATCTACTGAAATCAACTGCTGAGGGGGGCAGTGGGGACACAGGAGAGGTCTACTGTGCCCGTGGGTCACCTCCCTGGCCAGGGATTGAACTCGTGTCTGCAGTACTGAGAACAGCTCATAGTGCTGAGACTTCACCCCTGCACCAACAGAGGCCCCTGAAATTAAAAAAAAAAAAAAGGATTCTTGCCTGTTAATTTTTTTTTTATTAAATTGTTGTTCATCTTTGTGCAATATTGGATTGCTCCCCTTCTGTATAATTCTTGCAAATGTCCTGTCCGCACCGCCCCTGTGACCCATCCACAGGCCTGGTGCTCCTCCTCCCTTCCTGGCCCCTCTTCTGCCCCATCCCCTGCTGGTGTCTCAGCTCTGACATCTGCCTGCTAGTTTTGTCTTTTTCCTCTGACACTTTCTTTGTTTCCCTGTATTCCTCCTTGAGGTGATGATGTAATCCAGGTCTTTTTCCTTCACTCTTTGTTCAATTTTAGTATATGTGCTGCCGAAGCGAGCACCCTTCACTCTTTGTTCAGAACATAATTCCTTCTGCCATTGCTGGCCGTGTCCTGAATATGGTCTTTGTCTGAGTCAGTTCATACCTTGGGGTGAGTGGTCGGTGTGGAAGATGGTGGCCGAGGAAGTCCTTGATGTAACTCTCGCTACCACTTCCCCCTCAGGGGCCCCGGGCACCTTCTGGTGTGTTTCTTTGGCTCCGTGGTGATGCCGAGTGGAGAGTTTGAGCAGCAGGCCCGGAGTCTGAGGCCTCGGGTGTGCTCTTCCTCATTTCTTGTCTTTGGTGCGAAAGTATTTCCAAGTGGAGCCCAGAGTTCCAGAAGAGCCAGACATTTACTCACAGGAGAAAGGACAAGAAAGCTCCCTGAGCAGAACCGTCCCGAGGGGTGGCCGCTGGGGCCAAGAAGCAGGGGCTCCCATGGCTGTGGTGGTCAGGGAGCTGGTGCTGGTCGTGGGGGTCTCTGCGGTGTGTCTCTTGCTGAGGGGCTTGGCCTGAGTCATCTCCCGATGCTCTGAGGCCCGCTGAGTTTGCCCCCGTTACTTGCCTGCGCGTCCATGCCGAGCCTTGGTCTGTGGATTTGCAGTCGTGCCCTGTGTCGGCTCTGCAGCGTTCTCTCTGAAGGGCTGGGCTCGGGGCCCATCCATCGGGGATTGTTTCTCAGGTCATGGATTTGGGACTTGGGTGCCCACTCCTCCCTGTCCGTGCCCTCTACGCAGCTTCCTCAGTCAGGAACATCTCTACGGCCAGAGCCCCCGTCCTGTGTTTCCAGATCGGTGACTGATGGGGTGTCTGTCTCCTGAGAGCATCCTCCCTGATTCAGGGGGAGGTACATTGGTCCCTTCAAACTCCACCTGTAGTGTTGGGGCCATGGGCCATATTCCTCAACGCGCCATGGGAGGTCGCTGAGGTTTTCACCCCTAGGCCGCAGGCCGCTTTCCACGATGCTGCAGGCTCCCAGGTGTCCTTGAGCGCCCATTAAAGATGGCATCGGGCCCCTCAGCCTTCACCTCAGACCTAGTCCAAAGAGGCCTGCAGGGTTTGCTAAGACAATGCTCCTCTGCTAGTGCACGTTCCCTGGAAGTGTCTTTGCTGTGACGTGACTCATGTGGGCTGTTGCAGCAAGGGTCACTCTCTGCTCTGAAGGTGAGGGGTTCAGGGGACTCATGTCACGTCCCCCTACAGGTGTGTTGGGGCGTCCAGGGGTGTGGCAGGTGAGGCTTCTGTGGATGGGTGGGCGGCTCAGGTGGGTGGTGATGCTGTCGGCGGAGGCCCAGGAGAGGCCTCCACCATGCTCCGTGGGGACCTTGCCCAGCTCAGCCGCATCCTGGGGTCAGGACACACAGGATCAGCACAACCCAGAGACACTGTCCACGCTCCAGCGGTGAGGACACTACAGGAGCCCTGATTTCCAGGGGCAGGGAGTGGACCAGGGCGGGGGAGCACTCCCCAGAGACGAGTGGGGAGCAGAACAGGCATATCCATTGAAATCCACTGCTGAGGGGAGCCGCGGGGAGACAGGAGAGGTGCTGCGCCCTGTGGGTCAGCTCCCTGGCTGGGGATGGAGCTCTTGCTGCAGTGGCTGTGGACAGCTTCACGGTCTGAGGCCGATGGAGCAGAGAGGCTATGGGTCCATTCTTGTGTGGGGCGCTTATCCTTCGGATATGGGGACAAGAGGTGTGTGCTACTTGCAGGTCTGTGCCATCTCCCTTGGTCGCCCCCAACCCTAAGTTCATCCCCTGGATGAAAGGGAGTGTACCCATAAGATACCGAGGTGGATGGCCGGTCTTGGGCTGCGAGGTTCTCTTTCTCTGGAGAAGCAGAACTGCTTGTGAACATGTTGGTCTTGGTAATGTAGCCAGGCTAGAAGACAAAGAATAGTTTGACTTTTAACCCTTTGCACTCTGAACCATTCTGGACATTGGCTACCAGCTACTCGACGCTACTTTGCAGCATAAATGTGCATTTACAGACCCTCATATTATTTAGTGTAATTTTGGAACCAAGTAACGTATTATAATGATATTGGACATACATGAATTGGGTGACATCGAGGAATGTATATTTGCAAAAAAAACAATATTTTATTGTTTATAATTTTGTACAGTATGATAAGTTTTGTAACACTCCCCAATATGCATTGCAGGCTGATTAGTGGAGCTCATCTTTACTACTACTTGTGTCATGAGACTCATTCGTGGTTGGACGCTTTGCCGTTGTTCTAATAAAAATATGAATAAATGCATGGGTTTAAAATTTCTAATTGTTATTACTAACTGACAAGATGATATTTACCAAAATAGCTTTCACCAAACAATTTATTCACTAAGAAAAGAATCACTTTTCCGATTTTCTCCTCATTAGATCTATGTGCACTGCTCGAAGCTTCGAACCAAAATGGGCTCAACTTTGAAAATGTTTTCCTCCAGATGTAGACTTGTTTATTTGTAATTATATATCTCACTATACAGTATGCGCTGTGTTCGAAAACCGACCTTTCTTCTACAAACTCCCCTTATAGCTCTTTTCAAGTGGCGTTGAGAAGTGCTCGGACCGTCGTGAGCATGCATCTCACGTTCTCGTCCAACACAAAACCCGCTGACATTTCTTGTATATATCTTAGTAATTTTATGATATTTTGATTTAATTTCTTGTGCCATTTCAAGATAAAACTTCAGGGAAACATGCATGTCTGAAAAGGTTGCATTGAAATAACCTCAATTCCCCATAATCACTAATAAATTGCAATGTCCCCTGAGAGGGGACAGCGGAGTGCAAAGGTTTAAGCAATGAGCGGAAAGAACACAGGTCTATTTTGGGGATGTATGTAAGCCTTTGGGACACCCTGGTTTCAGAAATAAGAGTTACACGACAGAGTGAGTGTATGTAGTTCCACCAAACTCTGCATTGAAAAACATATGTCTTCCTAAGTACAAATAATGCACTGGAAGGGGAAATTAACAAAGCCATTCCACCTACAATTGCACACGCAAAAAAATTAACTGGGAATAAATTTAACAGAGGAGGGGAAAGACTTTTACAAGGAAAACTATCAAACATTGTGGGAAAAAAATGATAGAAAGCGTAGAGAAATGGAAAGAGAGACCCAGCTTATGTGTTGGAAGAATCAACATTGTCCAAAGGGCCATCCAACCCAAAGCCACTTCTAGATTCACTGCAACCCCAATAAATATCCCAATGGCATTCTTCAGAGGAATAGAACAAAGATTACTGAGGTTCATATGGAAACACAACAGACCCCA